GAATGCAGGGCCGCTGGATTCGAACCCGGGACCTTTACCTTACAGTGATGAGCGCCGTGTCAACGCCTAAACCGTTGCGGCCACCGACGCCCCCTCAGCTATTGTTGTTGTCAGTATGTTTGATGGATTAAGTCGTGGCATTTTTTATTGTTCTAGTCTGGTCTTTTTGATCTTCGCTATTTTTTCTTTATAATTTGAGTAATGTTTTAAATAGTATAAATTATGTGTTAATTTGTGTATTTATGAGTTTTTTTTTAGTGTTGATTATGTTCTGTTTTAGAGTATGTCCGGTATTTCTGCGGTGAATTTTATGTTTTTTTGTAATGGATTCAGATCTTTCAGTATGCTGATTATTTCTACTCTGGCGAGTATATCGTCTACTTATATGTATATGTGTGGGAGATTATGTTTCACTACAATCTTATAAATTTCCCAACCTCCCCTTTGCCCAATTGACAACAAAATTGAAGATTTTTGTTAAGTTTTTACATTTTAATTTTTACATTGGCCTTTTTTGTTATCGAAAATTTTTCGTTCTAATCATATTCTAATAAAAACGTTTTTAGAGATCGCGCATTGAACATGCTAAATATGACACCAGAAATGAATACGTTCACGCTTTAAAAGTAACGATAAACGTAAGTAGTAACTCGAAAGTAACAATAAAAGAATAATAGTTTTGAAGAAACAAGAATTTTATTTCGTATTAAGTTCATGTACACAAATGTTTGATCTTATAGACTTTTTCTTTTTTGTTGTTTTCACCTTTACTCCAGTCCTCTCGAATTTCCCTTCCTGCATATTCTACATCTAAAGGAATTTCCATCCGAAATCTCGTTTCCCTAGGAGTTTTAATCACTTGAAAGGGGTAACTAGACGGAATGGAGTTGTGCTGGAGGACGGCAATGATGCATTCGGCTTTGCCACGTGATACTCGCTTTTAGGGAAATTTTCTTTTTACTTCTTTTCGGGGTAGAGTTGCAAATCGTTATCGTTGATTGATTGATTAATTCTGCTTAAACGCTATTAAATTCCAAATTAGAATCATTCTTATTTTTAACAGACATAACTTCAACACACACTACATATTTTATTCTCAATATTTTATTGGTTTACCTCTTCAGGTAAGTCTGGATGGCGATTTTATCCCTTATAGTTTCCCCTGGGCAGATGATGAGAATTGCTTGTTTTCATACAGTAGCATCTAAAAGCACAAATACTTACAACTTAGGATGAACAAATAGCATGGCGGAATTTTATTTTCTCGCTTGTTCCCTTCCACGAGAAAGATAGCATATAAGTACACTAACATGCTGAAATTACATCCTGTTATACTTCATTTTGACAGTCAAAGCTTGGAGCTTTAAGCTTAGCAGTAATTAAATTGTGATTTTTTCCTCCTGTGGTCTGCTGGATGATAAATATTGTTTGATAGTTACCAATATCATCCTGGTCTGCCTATCCTCCTGGTTTATGTTAATTCAGACTCGTTTCGGCGTCTCACCATCTTAAGTGTTTTTGTGATATTTGTGTAGTGAGGTTTTAGTTAGAAGTTATGCTTTATGTGATATTATCATGACAAAACATAATACCATACTCATAAAACAGGTAGATAGACAATATACTCGCCATAGTAACCATCAACTACATAAACATCATACGACCTGAACTTATTAAACAAAAAGATAAAATTCACCGCAGAAGTAGAAACAAACATCAGCATAAACTTTCTAGACATAACAATGACAAAAACAGAAGACTGTTAAGACTAAAAATTCGACATACAGAAAACCGAGTCAACTCACAACATTAGACAAGCCGACTCAAACCACCCTCACCAACACAAAATGGCAGCAGTAAAATACATGATAGACGGATTGAAATCAATCGAATAACCAAGGCAATACGAAAACGAATTTAAAAGAATACGAACCATAACACACAAAAACGGCTATAACACAAGTACAATAACCAAAACAACACCTCAAAAACAGACACTAATTGGATCACATTCGCATACATTTGGAAAAGAAACATACAAAACTAACTTATTCAACAAATTAGATATAAACGGCACTAAAAACCACAACAACAATAGGAAAATTACTAAGACAACTGCATAAACATCATAGTGTAAGACCTGAACTTATAAAACAAAAAAGGTAAAATTCACCGCAGAAATAGAAACAAACAACAGTATAAATGTACTAGTCTTAATAATGACAAAACAGAAGAGAAACCAAAATTCGACATACAGAAAACCGAGTCAACTCTCAAGCCGACTCAAAATACCCACACCAACACAAAATGGCAGCACTAAAATAATGATAGATGGACTAAAATTAATCGAATAACTAAGACAAATACGAAAATGAATTTAAAAGAATACGAACCATAACACACAAAAACGGCTATAACACAAATACAAAAACCAAAACAACACCTCAAAAACAGACACTAAATGAACAACATTCGCATACATTTGGAAAGAAACATACAAAACTAACTTATTCAACAAATTGATATAAACAGCACCAAAAACCACAACCACAATATGAAAATTACTAAGACAAAAGTTCGAAAGACAGACCAACTAGGACAAAACGGAATAACACACTAACATGCAAATGCATTGGACAGACAAGACGAAAATTAAAATACAGACCGTTTAGGGACTACAGCGGAAGATGAAATTACAATCACAAATTACAAATAGTTTAATATGAAATAATCATAAGCTATACAACCACATATGAAACTACTATGCAACATACAAAAAGGACAGAAAATCATCATACTCGAAAGCTTAGAATTATATAAACATTACACATTTAACACTAAAAAGCTCATAAATACACAAATCAACAGTAATTCACAAACATCATTAAACATTACACAAAATAAAAAGGGAAAGGACCAAAAATCAAAAAGATCAACTAGAACAATAAAAAAACCCGACCCAATTCACCAACATCAAATTATTGAAAAGTGGAAAATCATATTTATTTTTTAAACCTTAAGCTATTTTTAAATTCAAAATATAACCTTTTTTTTTGGAAAAATATCTTCTTTATATCTTTGTGAAAATACTTGCTCTAAAAATACCAATGGTGAAACAAAGGTTATTGGCTCAATTGAGACTTTCAGCAAGTTCAGAATTAAGTAAATTTACACGGAAGGGACTTTGTACATAATAAACACTACAGATTTGTCCTATAGGTAATCTGAACTTAAAGGAATCATTGGTTCATTTAATTGTTTTTTGCCCAATTTGCAAATTACGAGAGAAAAATATTCCACTAAATACTATCTAAATAGTCCATCAGTTTTGCAACATGAGAACCAACTATTGTTACTACTTGAACTTGAAAATAAAAGCAAAATTAATGACTTCACGTTGAATTGTAATGTTTTTAATCGGAAAAACTACTATTTCTTTATTATTATATTACTTATTTAGTAAGATTTCATGGGGCCTAGGGAGAACGGACAGGACTACAGTCATATTTTTATGGCTAATAGAGAAAAAACTATCAAACTAAATAGCGACGGGACTGCACAAAGGAAAATAAAATTATAAAACTATTAAGAATTTTTGGTTTTTACAAGTAATTAATTAAATCTGATCCATTGAGAGGACAATTTTGGTTTATGTCGGTAGACTTACGATCAACGATAGCGTTACCATTTCGTGTCCTCTTGTTTGTATTTACAAAAACCATTTTAATTAAATAACGTAGCACATGCGAGGAACACGTGTTTCACTGTCCAAATACTTTATTAATTATAAGACTTCTAAGGGCGGAATCGGGCACGCGTCGTTTATTAGAAAATGAAATGCATCTGTCGAACATGGCGGCCTCGTTTTACAAGCTGAAAGGACCACTGTACCGCTGCGAATTGACTAACGTACTCGTTCCATGAAAAGAGCGTTGTCGGATTAATCTCAATCTAGGTTTTACAGCTCAACAAATCGCCTAAAGGACATGAAAGAGCCCTAAAATAGAGGCAATAAATGACTGGGCTTAAAATGTTCCCAACTGTTGCCATACATGCACGTAATTTTCTGTACATAAGGGAAAAAAACAGAGGGGAATTCTCAAAATGAAATAGTGATTTATTATTTACTTTTTAGTAACATAAAATTAACTACGTGCTTATTCAGTTTGATTTTCAATCATTAAAAGCTTGGGTCGAATATTACCCCTGTTCATATCAATCAAACTCATTAACAGGAACCATATGGTCCATTAGCTGAACATGAACCAACTTTGTCAACACCTCTCAGATGTGGATATTATATCATTAAACATCACTGGATATCCCACTACTTAAAATATCCATTAATTTAAAAAGTGTATTAATCTTGTATTAAAAAAAAACAAAAAACTTCTTTTTAAATTGAAATATGATACATGTCAGTGTATCTCATTACTGACTAAACTTAAGGTTGTTAGCATTGAACTGGTACCGTTTTCCAGTATTACATAATATAATACAAGAATTAATACATCTACATACACCTGCCAATTTGAATGGTATTGAAGTAAAACTAATTGATAGCTAAGTAGACTTATTCTGCCGACTTACTAGCAGACTTCAAATAAACTTTAAATAATTTGGTCATTAATGATAATTTTGATTTTCCTTTCCTGATCGTTTAATTCTTCCCCTAATTCTCACAGCAATGTTTTGCACATGGGGAACCCATGTTAATTTTTTAACCGGAATCAGTCTAGATACATTTCTTGATCCATGTCGGATATCTGTGTATCATTCAGGAATAAAGTTGATTCTGGTACATTTTTTTTATAAATTAAGCAATACAGTTGATTTTTAGGAGTTCCTATTTACTATCCACTTACTACATGTTCAATTAATGTGTGAAGGAAACATTAAAGGAAGCTGAAACAGGAAAGCTGAATTAAGGACATTAATGAACGAATTTGACTCTACACTAAGAAACATAAAATATTTATTCTTTATAAAATTCTTTACAGGAGGATGGACGCTTCGTGGCGATTGTACAGCAGAGATCTGCGGGATGGAAGCAGCGTGCAAACCCCTTAGAAAGAACTTCCACACATGCATCTGCCCACATGATTCTAGCATTCCAACCAAGGATTTAAAGTGTCCAAACAGACTCATTGGTTAGTGCAAAATAACTTAAATAAAACAATAAAAATTCAAATTATTTTTTCTTAAAATCAATTAATTGAATGCATACTACTACGAAATTCAAAATCAGGCATTGCATTTTCATATTAAAAGATGGACAAAGTACACAGTATTCGTTGGTTTGTCACAAGATTAATTTAAGAAATGTTCGCTTGAAATGGATGTTTCAAAATTATCTTCCTAGGTGCCAATAGGTCAAGGAGATTAAGAAAAATACCTTATCTGTTTATAAATCCAATGTCAGTAGTTTTGTGATGAGTAAGAGACTATGAACTATACAATCATATAAGGATAATTTTTTCTTATTTAGTTTTTTAACTTGTACGATTTTACGAATGTTAATGTGATAAACACTATTTCTCAAATTAATTTATAAATTATATGGTTTTTTTGGCAATTTTTAGATGAGTTTACTTTTTTTCAGTTCCTCCAACCCCAAACCCAATTCGTAACATAATCCCACCTACAACCATCTTTTTCAATGATACATCTGGTAATTCATCGTGGACGCCAAATGTAAGAATTGTCTGGATATTTTTCTTTGTCAATTTAAACATTGGTATGTATGTATAATATATGCTGGTTTTAGCCTCCATTACAGATTCAGAGTGGTCTCACTGATATCCCAAATACCTTCATTGCTGCATCTGTCACTGGGATTGTTGTTTGTGTCCTCCTCTGCATTGCTCTCCCTTTGTACAACAAATGCAAAAAGCGAGCCTGCATTGAGACCTGTGGGAAAAAGTCACGACGAGAAAACCACGAAAACGTGGTGCGTATGCTGGAGTAAATTTGTATTTATTGCTAATTAACACATTTTTACTAAATTTTTTCAAATGAAACCTTACTGTTGAGATGTTCAAAAACAATTTGATTTTTGTTGTGATATGTTTTTTTTAAATTTATTTATTTATTAGATAACACCAGTCAGTTTGAGCAAAGGTCTTCTTGACCCAGACTGCTATGCCACAAACCCCCAATACATGGCTGCATCGCCGGAAAATAGTATGACATACTTTTCACCTCTGGTTCTACCAAGGGATAGCATCATCTTTCAGAATGTTATCGGTGAAGGCTGTTTTGGAAAAGTTTACAAAGGTTGCAAACGACTAAATTTGTATTCGTACAATTTTGCCAGTAATGCTTATTAAAAAAATTTCAGGTGAGTTGACACTCCAGAACAAAAACGTCAACACTGTCGCGATCAAAGTTCTAAAAGACTCTGCAACAAAAGAGGCGGAAGATGATTTTATGAGGGAGGTTGAAATAATGACCTCTTTCCACCATTCAAATATTTTGTCACTCCTTGGAGTCGTTGCTAAAGGTACTTAAGAATTAATTAAAAACTAACCAAACTTTAAAAGCTGACTAAAAATTATATTTTAATAATAATAATTTTTTTACATTTTAATGGCATTTATCAAAATGACCTAATGACTTATAAGTTAATGTTGACTTAACATGTATGTTGACTTGACACTATCTACTAATAATTAATTAAGGTTTTTTTTTGGCGTTATGAACTATGCATATTAGCCATGTGACAATTCATATATGTGTGTTCAAATTTGGGGGGGGGGTTATTGTGAAAAAAGGGCCAGAGGCGACGGTGGGAATCGAACACACGACCGCGGCGTGAGAGTCTCTCATGCTAACCACTCGGCTACCGCGGTCCCCCAAACTAATTAAGGTTTTTAGTTGAGATAAAAAAAGTCAATGGCATGAGCAGGATTTGAACCCACGATCTTCGGCTAGATACGCCTCTGCTCTACCACTTGAGCTATCGTGACCTCGATCCACTCGGACACTAACTTCCCATCTCAACCCCACCTTTTGAATTTTCCCTCCTTTTTGCCATTTTTCAATTGGTCAAGCGGACCATGAAATTAGTGAATTTACTATCTACTAACATGTATTAGCATTAAACACATGTGTAGCATGAAAGAGGGTTTTTTTAATATCGGTATATTTTTCTATTTATTTATAGAACCTGGTAAAAGCCCAATGATGGTATTTGAGTTTATGCCATATGGTGACTTAACAGAAGTACTTAGAAGTAATTCAACCACTTTTTGGAAACATGATTCCAACCTGCCAAGACTAAATAAAGTAATAACTTACAACTTTTTGAGTAAAATACAAATTCTAATACAAGTTTTTCAGGAATCTTTACTAAACATTGCAATGCAGATTGCCTGTGGAATGTGTTACCTTGCTGAGCAGCATTTCGTGCACAGGGATCTTGCCTGCCGAAACTGTCTTGTCGGACTCAACCTTACTGTCAAAATTGCAGATTTTGGTATGAGCCGAGATGTCTATACTTGCGATTATTATAAGGTGCTTAATATTGAAAATATAATGAAGTAATAATTTCATTTTAATTATTTTTAATTCCAACATTTTTTTAGATCGGAGGTTCCAGATTATTGCCAGTAAGGTGGATGTCTCCAGAAAGTATTACTTATGGGCGATTCACCTTGGAGAGTGATGTTTGGTCATTTGGTGTTGTTTTATGGGAAATCTACAGTCTAGGCAAACAACCTTATTTCGGGAATAGCAATGAAGATGTAAATACAGAAAATATATATATTTAGAACCCAAGTTGATATTTCTTGTTGCAGGTCGTCAAACTCATCCTTCAAGGCATTATGCTCATCCCGCCAAAAGACTGCCCTCTTGGGATTTGTGACATAATGAGGCTCTGCTGGAAGACAGAGCCGAGAGACAGGATCAACTTCGAGAAGATCTGCTCATTGTTAAAAAGGATTAAAGCGACTTGCGCAGAGCAAGAGCCACTACCACGTCCTCCTCCTTTCCCAGTCAGCCCACTTTTGCACACCGCTATCAAAGGACTCCATGTGACGGAAATTGAAGTCGAGGATTACTTGGAGCCACAACCTTCAGCGACACCGCATGAATACATTCAGCCTCTTCCCGATTGAATGCTTTAATATATTTTCTGTATATACTATGATGCTGTGATCTGAGTTATTTTTATAATAGATTTTGTCCTATGACTCTTTGTTTTAGTCTTATTTTATAAATTTGCAAATTTTAAGTACAAAGCAGTGTGATCAATGACTTAGTAAAGTCTTTTGTTTGTAGAAATATTTTATTTCATTATTTTTTTATAAAGAAATTAAAATACTGTTTTTTAATTTCAACTACAATTTTATCATTTTGTATGGTTACATAAAAGTCATTTATAACTTATAAAGTAATTTAATCAAATCATTAAAAAAAAAAAAAAAACGATGTTGTAATATGTTAATTATTTAATAATTAGTGTTCATATCGAGAAACGAGACATTATTTGTTATCTTAATTCAACTAGTTGGTTCTCCACTTCTTTAACACATCCACCATTTTTTGTTTACTCATCATTTACTTTCTAAAGTCAAAAATAAATTACGGAGAACCCCCTCATCCATGTCTTGTTGGGTTTTATTATGACGGATATTCCTGGGGCCATGTTTGGGAAATTAAGATGGCAGTCATCCCTGTCATCTGGTCTAAAAGTTTTATCTTTTTTTGACTGCAAACTTCATTTCATATTTTTTAAGTGTTAAGAACACATATAAAGGGTCCACTTTTCTAGTCGAATGCAAGAATGTTTCAACTAATATAATTTAGAATGAGAATTTCCAATAATTTCACTGACAAGCAGTGATGGCTGTCCAAACGTTTTATTGTCAACGTATCTGAGAAGAAAGTTTAAAATCTGCAACTAAATAAGTCCAATTTTTAATTTATTTATGTTTTAGAAAGTTTATTCTTATGTATACACATATTTATATATTTGTTGTGAATGTAATTATTTCCTTGCTTAGGTCATACTTGAATTATCCCACACTCATCTCTTAAAATGTAAATAATAGTGAATAGTTTTATTTGTAAAGTATGATATATTGAATATATACCTGTAATTGTGCAAGTATTATTAGTGTAATTATTTGAATTATAGTGTGTACAGGTTTTATTTTCTTTCTATTTTTCAATTATAAAACAATTTATAAATTAATGCAATGCTTTCCTAACCAATTTTTGGTTTCACTGTAAAATGGTCATATTAAACTGATTAGTTGAATAGGGTATTTATAGAAAAAATATAATTCTTTAAAAGCGTACATTTGTTTTTGTTTCGATCACATTCAAATTTACCTTTAAAAGTATAACAAGTTATATTATCATGAGTTTGAGCCTGCCCGTGTGGGGATCGGTCCAAAGAATACCGACGAAAGATTTGCCTCACTTTACAACCGTGGACCTCCCAGGACCATCATCCAGAAGGCTTCCTGGACTTCTTGTATTCCTATAAGTTGTAGCAAGGTGTTTATTTTACACCTCGCAAAATCAAGCAGATATATATGTACATATCTTGAAACAATTTTTCGTCAATCTATTACAAGTTCTGTCCTTTGCCATTTTCCCCTGTCCTTAACATAGAGATGGCCAACATGGGGTTTCGCCAAATGCCGATTGCCACCGAGTCTCGAGATGCTCTTCTTGGCATTCACCAAATAGAGTGCCTTTGTATGCACACATGCGGGGGTTCCTACAACCAGTCAGTTTGTGCGGAAACAGAAAATACTATTGGCCATGTGCCATGTAAGTCCTCAACTTCATGATTGACAACAGCAAAACTGTCATTGCAGCAGCTGTTGTTTACTGTTTTGGTAGTGGGTACAAACTCAGTCACAGAGTACTGTTGCTGCAGCTTTACAACCGTGGACTTCCCAGGACCATTATCCAGAAGGCTTCATGGACTTCCTGTATTCCTATAAGTTGTAGCACGATGTTTATTGTACACCTCACAAAATCAAGCAGATATGTATGTACATATCTTGATACAAGTTAGTTTTTCCTCAATCTATTACAAGTTCTGTCCTATGCCATTTTCAACTTTCAATCCATTTCCAAGCATCAAAAACCTTTTCTGATTTTGGTGATTCAGAAAAGAAGTGTTCCAGATTAATGGTTCGGCTTGGTACAGATCAAGGAATTCCAAGCCTATGTTGGGCTAATCTATTTTTAACCAACAGGAACAATGTTATGTTGTTCTTTCATTAATACGTCTGTAATATATCATTGAAAAATAAATAGCAGTAAATACAAGTAAATATTACTGCTGATTGATGATTACACCTGATATAAGTACAGTACAGTTGAATCCCCAATGTATGGATGCTTTGAGTTCGGCTATTTCACGAACATTTGTGCACTTTGAAGAAGATAAGGAAACTGACAATTAGCCAAGAAAGGGAAGTACCAAATAACCGAGCACCCGTCCCCACTAGTCAGGATTTGGCAAACTTTTGCTCGGCATTCTGTGAATCCCGCATGTCTGGGGCTACCTTAAGAGAAATAATTTTAAAAAGCTGCCAATACAATATTAAAGGTTTCCAGGAAACTGTAAAAGTTGTAATAAGCATATAATTATTGAACATGAATTCTAAATATTTCTGTAAAATGCTGAGTACTCTTGATTGCTATTATTGTAAAATACGTTTTATTTTTTTAGAATTATGAGTTCTCACTTAAAAATGGAAGAAAAGATTTGATGTAATAACTTCTAAAAGTTTAAATAGCTAAGTACTTTGTTTATAAAATAATTAAATTTAATTTACATAAATAAATATACATTTTTGCAGAAATAAAGGTTTTTTTGTATTGTAATTTAAGAATATTAATTATATAAAATATAATGATATTTTAAATCACAGATAACAACACAAGGTCTTGGATTCGGTTCCAGCATTCTCTTGGAAATTTCTCATCCCTACTTGCAGATAGTTGAATGTAAAGCCCATTTATTTACTTTTGATGCTTGAAAATTTTTGTATTATAAAACGGTTATTTGAGTGTTCATATTTAAAATCCATAGAACTAGAAGTAACCAAATGAAAAAACTTTCAATTTTCAAAATGATTACCTCATGATCATATTAAAGAGTACCACCCTTATGCTTAAATCTTTAATATCCTATAATTCTGCGTATTTGTACACTATTAGCCACTATCTAAATATTTTTAAGTGTATGAAGAATGAAAGTCATTTTAAAAAAATCTTGTTTTCCCCATAAAATTTAAATAGCAATGCAAAGAACACATGATGTAGGTCAAGTTTTAAAAAAAATTAATGTGATTTTTCAAGGAAGCCTTTTGAAAATTTATTTTAATTAGCTGAAATTCCAAATTTATCAGGATGTCGAATTACCGATTTTATAAGTGGGCTAGGGTAGTTCCGATAAAACACAGGGATAATCTAGTTTCTTCTCAGTTTTCCGATTCACCAAGGTTCATTGCTTCGTATGAAAATGTGAGTACTTATGATTGTATTAGCGAAGGTGCACTATAACACGCATTCCCAACAGGATGAGAAAGTTAATATGTTTTCGCTCATGTCTCACGAGTATGCAAAGCAGTGGAGAGAAGAGAAAGATGCAACAAACAGAGTTGTACTTGAAACTCAGGACAGCGATTTTCTAATGAGGCGATACGTCATAAGGGGTTATCTTAACAGGAGGAAAGTACTTCAAACAAAACCAAGATTTATAATGAAACAGTAATTATCGCATGTTTTCTCCTTCTCCTCATTTCAGCATAATAAACATATCTGTTGCAACAGGTTTCAGAACATCCCTGCAAAAGTGAAGATGGCGAGTTCGACCAAATTAAAGAACAAAATGGAAGATACTTCGCAAATAAATGAGACTGCTGGGTCAGAAGGAGTGACTGGAACGTGTTCTGAAATTGGCGATTTGACGAAAGACGACAGTGTCAAAGCCATAGCATCAGGAACAGACATGAATGAAGAAGCAGGAGACCAACAAGATGCTGAAAACAAAGATGAAGAGTGTAAAAAATTATTTGTCATCTGCCAAAACTGCAGTAAAACTATTAAAGGAAAGGAAAGCACTGAACTGAATAAAACAGAGCCCATGGTTGAGAAAGGTGTCAAAAGGTGTGAAATGCGATTGAAAAATAAAGAAAAAACTATGTAAATAAAAAACTTTAAGAAAGAAACTATAGGTCTAATATCATTCAGCCCATAATTTACTCCATTAAAATCTGTTATGCTACGCTAATCATATATATAATTATCGCAATAAGTAATTGGTAATTTGTATTTTAATTTAATTAGGGTTGTAAGAAGTAAGATGTAATATTCAGGGTGTGTAATGAATTGCACCCTTTGAGAGCTATCCCCCATTCTGTACCTATAGCATGCCTGTGAGTCCTATTCAGGAAATTTGATTAGTAGACCTGGTTTCAATTGGATTTCTTCTACAGTTACATTACATATCCCACCTTCTGTGAGCAAATTGACGCCATTTGTTAGTAGGTGTGTTGTTGTTTCCTCTGCTTTCTTCCCGAATCTAAACGTGCCTTGTTTTTGCTTCTTTTGATGCTTTCTGTTGTTTCTTTCCTTTCAAAATTTGCTAGAAGGTTAGGATTGTGTATGTCCAACGAGTGAATTCCATTGTTTCCTCATTTTCCATTTTTCCTTTGTCTACGATCCTCATTGTTAGTGCAAAGAATCCTTATGCCACAAAAGGACTCAGGTCCTATCAGCAAGGCCCTCCACTCCCATACACTTCCTCCTCCGGGCAAATGTGGCACCACAGTGTGTAGTAGGTGTGTTGGTATCTCAACTTTTTCCAGAATTTGTGTCATATTAGATAATTCATATTAGGATAATATTAGTATATTAATCCATATATGTTTAGTAGTCATAATTGATCATATTAATTATTAATATTAGCATTAAATTGCATTTAAATCAGAGGAGCTGTCGTATACTGTCTATAGCCAGCACAAAAATGTGTTTTTAAGCTGTTTTCTGAGGGTCATACTTGGTATTAAAAGTAAACTATTGATAATTTAATTGTTAGTTTATTTCTACATTAGTTACAAAACAAGTACAAAACAAGAATGCTACGATTTTGACTTATGTTTGACCTTTGGGAAAGATTTGCATTCGCAGAAATCTTTCTGAATAACTTTGGGCTTAGAATTGTCATTGAACACAATTCCTGTATGAGGAGGAAACTTGACCGAGAGGCTCAGACCTCCTCTTGACAAGACAATGCTTTGTGTTTCTTCCTTTAGAATATTTTCAATGTTTCCTTTGGGAGTCTTCTTTCTTTTGGACACTGGCTTCGATTTCAACGGCTTTTTCCACATCTGGCCACGAAATTCAGGTTTATCAACTGCACACCTTGATACATACTAAAACAAAATTTATTTTACTAAAGTTGGTCTTGAAAAGTGAGAAAACGAAATTCAAATAAGCGGGAGACAATTTATTGCAATAATTTTGTTTTATTTAAAATTGAAAATTGTAATTACTTGTGATTCCCAGTCTGGAGGTGATTCTGCTCTCTTTGTCAACCTTGGTTTCGGAGGACTGAAAGGCATCCTTTCTTCAGGTGATGTCTAAAATGGCAAACATTTCTAAATTTATTTTATTGCCATTTAATATAGGTTTGATAATTGTTTCAAATGTTGCATGAAAATGCAGATTAATCACACAGCTTGTAGCTAGATGACTTTTATACACAGAATAGAACAATTTTGCAATAAATAATAAATTAAGAGGATTGGAATGTAATTAAAAGCAAGTTTAATTGCTGAGTGTATACGTCAATCACCACACATTAATAATGTGATATATTCATTTACCAGAGGTTTGGCAAATAACTTGATTTTGTCGAACAATCTTGTCATCTTTTTTTTTAAACTAAGTTTTGAGATTAAATAAACATCATACCTTGATTTTGTTTCTTTCTGGGCTGCAGGCAAAACACTTGTCCTTCCTCGTCTTTTTGTCCGTATGATCTTCCTCATCTACCGCAATCTCTGGCAATGTGTCCATGACCGACGTGTAAATGCCAACACGCTGCAAAAAACTGTTAAAACGGTTAGTTTCAAGGAGTCAGAACGAAAAAATCTGTTCTCACTTCGGTGGCGGTTCTTCCCAAAAGTGATCAACCCTCGTAGTGATCATTATGTTCGACAGGTGCTGGAGGAGTGTGAAATTGTCCGAAATTATTTGCGTACACCTCTCTGATTCTTTCTGTATTTTTTTCAATTTGCATGATACGTGTTCCCGGAATGGAGGTGGTGTCGTATCGATCGCAGGAAGAGCCGATTTTACCTAAAGCATAAATGCAATGAACGAAGTGTCTACTTATTAAATTTACAAAGATACATATAAACTTTAACCATATTAATTAGCAATTTAATAGCAAATAATTAATTACGCTTAATTTTGTGTTTATTCTACAATCAAATAAGAGGTATAAGCAAGTTATGACTTAATTCTGTTTATACCAAAATAAGTGTTGTACTTTAAAAAAAATTGAAATTAAATGAGGTATTTGGAAACAAAAACTGAACCACAGTGTAAAATCATAAAATAATTAGGAAAATAATCTGAATTGCGATTAAATAAGCTCTTGATTAGGGGTGAGAGAGTAAGCATAAGTTAAGACTCTCTGTTGTGGCAACTTTTTCTTTTTTTGCAAATTGTGGATGAAACAGGATTTCGGGTAATATTCGACCTTCTGCCTGTGCTGGATGTATCTCCTTTCTTGCCAGGGCCGAATAAGAAGATTTTCCCTTCGTGTCAACATATTCAGTGGAGAAAATCAACTGGCCCTTAGCAACATTTAAACAAAAGGAGGGCGGCAACGGCCAACGGGTAAAGTTCAAGCAAATAGCCGTCGCGGGGGAACTTTACAACTTACTTTTCAGTTAGACTTAACGAAGGAACGACCAGGTTGGTGATTTGGACCAAACTTTTTTGGTGATTCTACACTCCAAAATATCGGACACGTATCTGACACCGATTGTGAAGAGGCCCTGGTTTCGCAAACAGAAATGTTTAAATGTGTGGTTGGCATTCTCAACACGACACGCAAGAATGGCACAATTACACAGAAGACAAACACTTTGAGCCCTGAAGATGATCTCAATAAAGATCGAAACGTTGGCACGATAAAGAAAATGTTTTTCTGAAACCTACATCACACCAGACCGCATCTCACGATTTCTGAATAAAAATGTTTAAAGTTGAATTTTTCCGTTTTTTTAAATATTTTTATTTCGCCGTTCAACATGCGGAAATCAACTATGTGAATTTATCATTTTACAACATTTTTTATGTACATTGCAATAAAAATATAACAAAAGCTATCCAAAGTTCATTAATAACCAAAAAAGTTGGAAAAAAAAATATTTTTCAAGTAAACTAGGTCATAGTTTTTTTCCCCGTGAAACTAACATAAATTTTCGTATTTGCACCACTAGAGACCGTTAAATATACATTTTTGGTTGAATTTAAATTGATCTATATTTTTACCACTAAAATTTTTCCGATTTTTGAGAAGTCATTATCGGAATATCTGATTGAAAAGCTAGAATTCAAATACGGCTAAAAATATTTGAAAGAAGTGTGTGATGATTAGTGACCGCTAGTCGATGATTATTCAAAAATCGTGAGATGCGGTTTGGTGTGATGTACGTTCGGAAAAACATTTTCTTTATCGAGCCAATGTTTCGATCTTTATTGAGATCATCTTCAGGACCTGGGATTTACAAACATTGTTTAAATTTAACAAAAACATGTTTTTTCCACATCCTACACGTATTTGTTAAATTTAAACAATGTTTGTAAATCCCAGGCCCTGAAGTGACCTACATCTCACGATTTCTGAATAATCATTTGAAAGAAGAATAACGTAGCTTTTTACCGACGTGTGTACCATTCAAATATATGAAATATCTACTTAAGAAAATAACAAAATTATTTGTCAGAAATCAACTTTTTTTTCCTGTCCTACTTTGCTTACAGTGTTTATTAAAATATATATAAAAAAGTAGTATTTTGTTGATTTATCTTTTTAAATCATACCAAATTAGAATATTCTGCGCCTTAGAACATTTTTGTTTTCGTGTTACCAATAATAAAATTAATATACCAATTTTTTTTTATATCTAAATAACGATTTGTGATCATTTAATTAAATTTACATTATGCTTATAATTTTTATTAATATTTTAATTTAAATAGTAAAAATAAATAAATAAATAAATAAATAAATTCATTCAACAAAAATTATATTTGGTCCCTCCTGTTTCGAAATTAATGAATTTGAATTTTGTTGAGAATGTGGGGGAGTGTTTTGCTGATCAACGTCCATTACAACAAATTTCGAATAATGAATCGTTAGAGGTTTAAAAGAATATTAATTTTTGTTATATTAATTTAATTGTTGGTGAAGAAAAAAAAATGTTTTAGGGATAAGACGCATATTCTAATTTGTTGCGATTTTAAGATTTTTTGTGTGCATATTTTAGCAAACATGCTGTAAGCAAAGTAGGTCAGAAAAGTCATGACTCTAGCGTTATAAAGCCTTAAAACCTTTAGATACCGACTTTCGAGGAAATCTGTGTAAAATAATTTTTTAGCATAATTTCGACGACCCCTTTGCCTGACTGACATTCCTAGTACAAGTTCTCAAAATCTAGTAGATCGATTTTCATAGTTGATAATTTGTCTAAAAGAAATTGTCAAGTGCATTTTGTAACCGTATCAAATATTAAAATTGGACCATTATTTTCATAAAAAAGAGGTTAATATCTTTTAACGAGGGTTCGCAACAGCAGAGGTCATATCAACCCTCAGGGTGCCCATTTGTAAGTATGTCGTGTTCGAATGCAGGGCCGCTGGATTCGAACCCGGGACCTTTACCTCAGTGATGAGCGCCGTGTCAAAGACTAAACCTTGCGGCCACCGACGCCCCTAAGGTTAATATCTTACAAATAATTTTGTTATTTTGTGTGTTTTCTTATAGAAATATTTTATATATATAACTGGAACACACGTCGTTAAAAAGCTATGTTCCTCTTCTTTCAAATATTTTTAGCCGTGTTTGAATTACAGCTTTTCAATCAGATAGATCAGAGGTCCTAAAATCGATAAATGTAAATTCAAACAAAAATTTCTATTTACGGGTCTCTGGAGGTTCCTCATTGACGTGGTTCTAGATTTATAAAACCTGTAGATACAGACTTTCCCGGAAATCGGAGTAAATTAACTTTTTGACCGATAATTCGAAGACCTGACATCATTCCTAGTGAAAGCATGCATATTTCCCAAAAGCTAGCAGGCCGATTTTCATAGTTGATAATTTGTTTGAAAGAATTTGTCAAGTGCATTTTATAAGCGTATCAAATATTAAAAACGGACTATTATTTCTTTTTTAAAAAGAAGTTAATTTCCGACAAATAATTTTGTTTGTTTTTTAATAGAAATATTTTATATATTTTAATGGTACACACGTCGTTATACAGCTACATTCCTCTTCTTTCAAATGATCTATTTGGTTTTAAAATATTCATTAGCCGCTTCTGAATAATAGCTGTTTTAATCAGACATGCAGATAATGGACTTCTTAAAAATCGGAAAAATGTTAGGGGTAAAAAAATCGACAGATTGAAATCAACAGAAAAATTTATATTTAGGGGTCTCTAGGAGTGTCTCATTGTCGAGATTCTAGGGTTATAAAACCTTTAAATCGCGGAAATCGTTGTAAATTAATTTTTCGTCGATTAATGACTGACATCGTCAAGTGCAAGCTCAACATAATTTTTTTTAAACTATAGTGAACCGATTTTCATATTTGATCATTTATTTGACAAGGAAATTGTCAAGTGCATTTTATAACTGCATCAAACATTAAAATCGGATTTTTATTTCTATTAAAAAGAGGTTAATTTCTGACAAATAATTCAATTTCTTATGTAGACATTTTTATTCTTTAATGGTACCTACATAAGAAACCTATGTTAATAACGTCGTTAAAAACCTATTTTCCTTTTCTTTCAAATACAGTTAGCCGTTTGTTGGCTGTTCCAATAATGGAATTCTTAAAAATCGGAAAAATTTTAGTGGTAAAAAAATCGATAAATTTAAATTCAAACAAAAATATTTAGAGGTATCTAGCACTGCTAATACGAAAATTCATATTAATATTTTCATAAATCTTTAACCTAGTTTAGTCGAAAAATATTTGGTTTTTAGAAATTTTTTGGTTATTCGTAAACTTTTATAGCTTTTACCATATTTTTATTGCAATCTATAATAAATTAAAAAATGCTGTAAAATGATATATTCACACTGAGTGAGTAGAAATATATATGAATATATATATGAATATATATATAATGAATATAAAAAATATATTTTGCATTGTACAAATTCACTTTTTTCCACATCCTACGTGTATTTGTTAAATTTAAACAATGTTTGTAAATTCCAGGCCTGAAGATGATCTCAATAAAGATCGAAACGTTGGCACGATAAAGAAAATGTTTTTCTGAAACCTACATCACACCAGACCGCATCTCACGATTTTTGAATAATCTTCGACTAACGGACACTAATCACCACACATATTCGCATGGTTGATTTGAGCAAGTAGAACGGCGAAATAAAAATATTAAAAACCGAAAATTTCAACTCAAAAAAATTATTCACAAGAAATGGCGTATACTTGTCCGATATTTTTGAGTGTAGAATACCCAAAAAAGTTTGATCAAAATCCGTGACACCCCCTTGTGAGACTATTTAAAAATAAATATTTTTTATTCTCGTGTAATAAGGAACTTTGAGATGTTCAAACTTATATAAATTGTAATAACATTATTTTTGTGTAATTAATATTATTTTTGTATGTAGTTGTGGGTTGTGGGGTGGTGCGGACTGCGCCCTGCGGTGCGGTGGCGTTTGTCGGCTCGGTGGCGCCTCGTCCCGGCTCGTCCGTCAACCAGCCGCCCGTCCGTCTAATGGTCGTCCCGGCGAGGGGTGTGTGTCTCTCCTCCGTTCGGACTCTCTCTCCGACCCGTGCCGAAACCCGAGCAAAGCCCGTTTCTATGCCTCTCCTCGGAATATGTCCAGTCTGAAAATCGGTAAGGCTCTGAAAAAATACCCGGCGGCCGACTCACGGCCGGCCCACGTCTTGGAACGTTTCTCATCTATCGCCGGACTCGCCCCGAGCTTTCCGCTCGACGTTCGTACATCATCGAAGAAAACGGGCCGAGTCCGTCCAATTCTCTGTTTTTTTTACCCTCTAGTTTTTTTGTTTTGTTTTTTCTTTTACGAGTTTTAGTCGTTTCTTGTCTTATTTCTGCATCTTCTCGGATGTGAGAAGCACCTTTCAAAAGTCGGGTTTCACCCACCTCCCGATTAACCTATTTACTACACAATTCTGTAATGTTCAGATTTCGCTGTTCAAACCGAACCGCTTCCTCTCACAGAGAACACAAATTTTCTTAGCTGTAGTTGAAGTTTGTTTTGCATGCTTAAAACGTTGACTGCCGAAGAAGAGACGATTGTTTGCACACCTAGTTTTATGCACTAGTGGTTGATTTGACGAGGATAACCCGACATATTTTTTTAAAATGTTTTTTTAGATAAGGGCATTGCAGATAAACTGTTTTTTGTTTTGAATGTGCTTTTATTTTATCTTTGATTTATATCTTTTGTTTGACTCTTGCTCTAACTTTCTCTTTTTTGAACTGAATATCACACTTTATTGTATGCGATTGATGCTCTGACACATTGGATTTATTCAAACCTACAAATGTCCAGAAATTTTTCAGCAATTTAATAAATTTACCTTGGAGAAAAAACAGATATTTTAATAGTAGAAATCATTTCA